ATTAATCCTTAATTATCATCCTCTTGCTTCGCCTACTTTCTTAAATCAATCAATCAATCAATATGAATCAATAAATAAATGATAGCGAATATACATTGTTATCAGTAACAGCAACAGCGACAACAACAAATGTATGTATTTTTTTTTCTCCATCAATCTCTAAATCGTATTAATCGATTACAATCGATCAATACAATCGATTATTATAGTGAGATAAACAATTTCCATTCAAATTTCATGAAATTGGATTCTATTTTCATTTCCTTAAAAAGAAACCTTGTAAATGGAAAATAAACGGTCAGATTGCTGCTGTTTTTAGCTTTTGTTAGTTGCTCAAACAAACGCCTACATTTTTTTCTCCAAAATTTTCCAAAAACCAAACAAACATCAATCTTATATCCGGTGCAAGCAAGCAAACAAATCATAAAAAGCGATGAAAACGACAAATTCAATATTTACTTTGCTTAATTTTCTTTGCATTTTCCGTTTCGTTGACAGGTTTCTGGAACAAAAAACAAAACAAAAAATCCGAAAAACAGTTTAAACCCGAAAACATATAAAAATAAAAATTTTTAAGATTTTCAAAAGTAAATTTTAAAGAAAAAAAGAAAGGGAAATTTTTTCTCCTGATTTTCTTGATATTTTTTTCGTTGAGGAAAAACAAACAAACACACACACAGCATAAACATTGTATCGATTTTTTTTCATTCTGCTTCAAGATATTTTTTTTGTTATTGTTTTTTGTTTTTTACCGAGGTTAGATTTTCTTTAAAGATTATATCATTGGATGCAAAAAAGAAGAAAAAGAAAAAGAATTCAATTTTTGATTGATTGGATTGATTAGTTCTGACATTGTTGATGCTTTTTTTTCGCTTGTTGCCAAGCAAGTTTGCTTGCTTATTGCCTGTTTGCTGGCTTTGAAAAAGTAAAAGCCTACCGGCTTGCCTGCTTGCTTTGCGATTATCCGACCTTGATATCCCATCACATCAAGGACCTGTTTGTTTTTTGTTATTTTGCTTGTTTTAGCTAAGCCTTTTTCGCTTTGAATGAAAAATTCATTCGCAATTCTTCCATATTAAGAATTAAGAAAATGAAAATGAAAGCAAAAAAACAAGTTTCATCAAACAAGAATATCATTTTCTGGCTTTTTTCTTTTCATTTCTTTCATTCGATAA